CCTTTCAGAAGGGTACCCGTACCTGCCCATAACGGTCGGGTACGGGCAATGGTTACCCAGTTGCCACCTCTGGCAAGGACAACTCTGTTCTTCAAGCTTTCCTCCCGAAGCCCAAGCTTTCCCCTCGACAGGCACATTGGTGGCGCAACTTATCTGTATTCAATTTCACCTCTGCCAATTATGCGTAAGACGAACTGCGTCGCTGATGCTTTGTCACGTCGTCCTAACCACAATCAAGAGTAGATCCAGCTTGCTGCCATCTCAGTCACCACCATTAATCAGTCGGTGACCAACGCATATCGGAATTAGTACTGAAACAACCCGGGTTATTGCGACATACACACGATGCTGTGACGTGTTTCCTCCACTGAACAGCTTCGTATCCAGGCCGCAACAGAGTTTCATAACCGGGCAGCTGCCGGTCATATGAGCTTCCACAAGACGTTGACTCGTGTTTGTCGTACATACGTTTGAATCAGATTAAGGAATTTGTCAGGAACTAAGTCCAAGACTTTCCTAACTGTCAGGAGGTGAACAATGCAAACCATCTTCCGGATGGGTTACTCCAGCTTCTACCCATACCTAAGGGTTGTTGGCGGTCTGTCTTAATGGATTGTGTTGGTCTCCTCCGCCCTCCACCGAGCGGGGTCATGATGTTATCTTGGTGGTCGTCCATTGTTTCATGAAGTGTGCACGTTTTGTCCTATGCCGCTATCGCATTGACACTCGTGAGGTCGTCGACATCATCTTCGATCGAGTCGTGAGAGATCACGACTTATCTCAGAGCATACTCTCCGAACGTTGTCGAGCACATCGACTCCCGTCTTTTTTGCAAAGGCGAGAGTCCTCCCGGCCATGTCACGTAGGAGTAAAACACAACTAAACAAAGACGACTTGGGACGACTCATAATAACCCCGTGAACCACCGAAACAGTCCCAGTAGTATCGTTCTTTCACCGCTCTTTCCAAGGGCGCCAACTGTACATCCCACGGTCCCCTACAACAGGATAGGTTTTTGCGGGGCACATCTTGCCTTCCTCGAGGGGCTATCACCACCCTCAAGAGCGTATCCCTACTAAGCTACTGACCCACATGTGAAAGTTTTATCATGCACTCGCAGAGGTAGGTCAGCCGATGACGTTTGCTCGTTTCGCTACAGTATAGGAAATGATTGGTTAAACGCCAAGTGGACCCGAACATCGTGCATTCCTAGGGCGATGATTACGTCGGTCGACTAGACTGGTCTCAACCAAGCATGAAACCACAAGTAATCCTAGTCCCTCGTTTATCAAAACGGTATGCCAGAGAAATTTGATTTAATATATCTAAGTCAAAACAATGACAATTTCCGACAATAAACCTCATGTCAAAAAGTAAATAGAATTAGTCAATAATCCAATCATGTCTGGTTTGACTTAATGAACAGTCCATCGAAGCTATTTTTTTTTTTTCCCTTTAATCTCTACTGTACCTCTTATTGATTTGTCATTACAATCACTCCAAGTAATGCTACTCTTAATTAGGCCATTTTCATGCGCCAAAAATTATGCCCACTTGATTACCCCTCAATGTCAAGCATGATAGTGCAATCATTGGGGCAATCCGGATACTATCCATCCGGTTGGTCCTATCTACAATTTTTTTTTATATTTAAATTACCCTTATGGAGTCGTATAACCACAACTCTAACATAGGGACAACTCGGCGTGGCCCCTAAATGTCATAAGAAGGCGAGTCTAGCCGAGATAGAGTTGTCGACCCTCGCCGGCCTCAACTTCAATCTGGTCGAGGCATGCAAGTTCCTCGCTATCAAAAATCAAGGCGGTAACGTGCCCGCCCCGTACTTCCTGAACCATCCGCGTATCATAGAACGAAGTCATCCATGAGGCTAACCTCAAAACTATGGCGCGAAACGGCTGCCGCATACGAAAGAGGTGTCCAACCGTAGAGTCCATAATCCGAACGACGTCATAGTGTTCCCCGGATAGGGTAATTTTAACACTCACAATGTTTCGAGAAAGGGATTGGAGATTGCTCACGTGATGGAAATACAAAGTATGTCCATGAAACTCATCTGGTTCGTGCCACATTGACACGGACATCCGCACGTGAGTCAGAAAAAAATTCTTGCCCATCTCTGAGCAAACCAATAAAACCAACCCAACGAGTGGACGTATCATCCTAAACAAACAAAAGTTGCTCCGCCCGCCGGATCAGCTCCGCATCCAATGTGTCGCGAATCTGCAAATATCTCGCCTGAGTGAGATCCCGCGTACCTCCTACCGCTGACCATCTACACATCCGAAGGAAACGTTAGTCACGAAGACGTTCCCCGATCTCATACTCCTCATCATCGAACGCATAAACAGAAAAACGTTCAGATCGAAAAATATCGAAGTTGTTGGTCTGAATCCACCTTACATGATAGAGAAGACAGAAAGGGTCTTGCCGATCATTCAGCCATAGCAGAATACGAAGGAACATCCTTCAATCTTAGAAGCATCCTCCCTATTCGGATTTGACTCGTGAATCACAACGAGATTCATATCCCCAAAGTCTCATGTCGGATTAGGAGGAACTAAATCATATCGCACAATATGAAGTTCACGCTCTACCATGAAAATGTAACTCTTAGGAGGATTTCTCACGCTTCCATCCCAAAATTGTGGCTCGTCTCGCTCCAAAAAAAACTTCATGCAGGTTGTAGACTAATCGTCTTTCCCGCATCATACCGGCACGTGATCGTATCGGCACCGCTACCTCGTCTACCGCCGCTTCGCATGTACAAAACAGTCGAATGATCACCTCTTTTGTCGGCATCTTGAAGACTTAGTAATAACTTTGTCAAGATAAAATCATATACACTTATCTCTCTAGTCAAACTCTCTTTTCCTTGGATCGTGATTTTTATGCCACAGTTCTTTCGCAATGGTAGTGACTACTTGCACTTCATCCAACATGATTAGGTATATGAACTTGATTTTTTTTTGCACCAGTTCCCCATACGTTGGTGACACCTAGGGCCGTCACCCAAAAAATAGTTAACTTTAACTTTTTCCCACTTGAAAGCATGAAAAAATGACCATCTTTTACTGCAGAACACCCTACTCTCTAAAAAACGATCTGGAACACCCCTCCTCCTCGCCCGAACGCATTGTTGAGATTTCAAAAGTCGGGCTGGCTCCATCGCAATTCAGCAAGGTATTCCCCTGTAGTACGGTCCATTTTGGGTCAATAACAGCGTCGGCTCCTAAAGCAACGAACCCTTGTCGCAGATGCTTTCTAGAGACAAGAAGTCTCAGTCCCTAGGTGTAATCATTTTCCTTATACTCTACCACTTGGGTTTGACTTAAATGAAAAGAAAATAACATTGAGAAGAAAATTGAGATTGAGACTCTTTTGGACGGGTACATAAAAAAAGGTAATTCAGGATAGAATGAGAGGTTTCGTGGAAAAATCTTAAATCCTTCTCTTACTTTTTTCTTCTTCATCGGAATTTTTCTTTCTTCCAGCACCCATTAGCTTTCTCTTTTTCTTTGTGACATGCAGACAGGTATGAAGTCGAAGAAAGATAAACTTTTCCGCCATTTCCTTGAACTGGCATAATGCAATTTTCCCTCACATACATCCTTTTACCTACCCGTTGAACAAAAAAAAAAAAAAAAAAAAAAAAAAAAAAAAAAAAAAAAAAAAAACACATCCCAACCAAGTCAGTCGGCATTTGACACATGCAGAACTTCACACACCTTACTTTATCTTTTCCCCAAATTCAAAGCAAGGTCATGCAAAGTGTGGATTCACACAGGTGTGAAAGGGAACTAAGTCACAACTGACCTTGGGTGAAGTTGAAGGTGACTCACTCAAGAATGCCAAGTAATTATCTCAAGGGATCGGCCCCACAACTCACACGTTGTGCCCGTCTACAAAAAGATGATCCGCGTCATTCTCAAATATCACCAGAGACATAAGCGGCCACTCACAAGGACTGGAGCGTGATAGCCCTCGAAGAGGGTGTTCTTACTTATAAGCTAAGTTAGCATTTTCGGATATCCACAGATATTCGGAGGGCCTGAATTAATCCGGTATATCCGGCCGAAAGAAGGGCCCCGGATATTACCGAAAATACATTTTTTTGGTCCTTCGCAAAATATGCACAAGACCCGGGAAATGGCTTCGGGGGTGTGGTGGGGTAAAGAGTAGCAAGCCGAACACCTTCCCACTCTCAAATTGTCACGGGGCCCTACCGATTTTGAAAAAAAAAAAGGCCCAATCTGGGTCGTTGATTGACGATGATCCACGACCCAGATCGGGTATTTTTTCGAATTCGAAATCACGCAGCCCCGGTTTCGGACTGCGTGTGGTGTACTGGCGTGCAACCCTTGTCCCTCCCCACCAACGGCCCGCGCTACGGCGGCTACGAGCTTCTCACCCCCGGCTGCTTGGCGCAGACGGCCCCCTGCCCCACCTCCCCGCTGCTTGGTTGCTCGAGCCATCGTTGTCACCGTTGCTTGCAGTCGCCGGGAGCGCCATCCTCCTCCTCCAAGGTATGTCCGCCCTCCCCCTTAACCCCCCTCCACCTCCGCCTCCTCTTCCTCTTTTTGCTTTTCGTCGTTCTCCTCCTCCTTTTTTTCCTCCTCCCTCTCGTCATCGTTCACGTCGTTTTCCTTCTCTTTTTCTTCTTTTTCCTCCTCACTCCCCTCTTCCTCCTCGTTGTCCTCATCTTCTACTTCTTTTTTCTCCTCCTCCTCCTCTTCCTCCTCCTCTTCCTCGTCTTCTACTTCTTCTTCCTCGTCCTCCTAAGCGTCCTCTTCCTCCTCCTCAGCGTCCTCTTCCTCCTCCTCAGCGTCCTCTTCCTCCTCGTCATCTTCCTCCTCCTCCTCCTCCTCCTCCTCCTCCTCCTCATCTTCCTCCTCCTCCTCCTTCTCGTCCTCATCTTCTGCTTTCTCTTCTTCCTCCTCCTCCGAGTCCTCCTCCTCTTTCCCCCCTTCCTCCTCATTGACCTCGGCCCTTCCTCCTCGTCTTCCACCTCTTCCTCCCCCTCCTCCTCATCATTGTTATGCTCTCCTCCCTCCTCGTCCTCTTCTTCCTTCTCCTTGTCCTCGTTTTCTACTTCCTCTTCTTCCTCGATTACCTCCTCCTCCTCCTTCTCCTCCTCCTTCTCCGTGACTTTGTGGAGGCTCGCCTTGACCCCTCTACCCCGCCGCCCAACCCCCCTCGACCCTTTTTTTTGTCTTTTTAACTCTTTTAATACCTATCAATCAATCAATCAATGAAAAAACAACCAAAAAAAAGTCTCCAATCGAATCAATCGATTGGATACTTTTTTTTTCGTTTTTTTTATTGATTGATTGATCCCTTCTTTTCTTTTTTAAATTGATCAATCAATCAATCAATCAATCAATAAAAACAAATAAAACGAAAAAAAAAAAATCCAATAGAGAAAATCGATTCGGTTGGATTTTGATTTCAAAATCAAGATCCAATTGAATCGATTTGTTCGATTGGATACTTCCTTTTCCATTTTATTTTTTATTGACTAACTGATTGATTGATTGATTGATTGATTGGTTGATTGGTTGATTAAAAAAAAACATAAGTGGGTCATTTCGTTCGTATACAGTCGTGCAAATCGATTCGGAGGAGGAGGATGACGAGGAGAGGGAGGAGCAGTCGGAGAGGAGGGGGGAGGAGGGGGGAGGAGGTGGACAGGGAGGAGGAAGAGGACAAAGAAGAGGCGGAGGAGGATGAGGAGGAGGAGTAGGAGAGGAGGAGGGAGGAGGGAGGAGGACGAGGTGAAAGGGGGGACAGGGGAGGTGGGCGTGGTCAAGGAGGAGGAGGAGGAAGAGGAGGAAAACGAGGAGGAAAGGGCCGATATCGGCGAGGAGGAGAAGGAGGAGGAAGAGGAGCAGGAGGAGGAAGAGGAGGACGACGAAGAAGAGGAGGAGGAAGGAAACGAGGATGACGAGGGGGAGGAGGACGAAGAAGAGGTGGAGGAGAACTAGGAGGTGAGGGAGGAGAAGGAGAAGTCGGGGAGGAGGAGGGAGGAGGTGGACAGAGAGGAGGAGGAGGTGGAAGGGGGGTCAGGGGAGGAGGGCGCCGAGTGAGGGTAGCGGGATGCAGGCAGTCTCGCCTCGACCACCCTCATCTGCTGCCCAGCCCCCCGACCGTTTTTTTTTTATTTTAAATCAATCAATCAATCAACCAATAAATAAATAAATAAAAACGAAAAAGAAAGTATCCAATCGAACAAAATCGATTCGGTTGGATCTTGATATGAAAATCAAGATCTAATCGAATCGATTTGCTCGATTGGATACTTTCTTTTTCGTTTTTCTTTTTTTGATTGATTGATTGGTTGGTTTATTAAAAAAAAAAAAAAAAAGTGGGTCAAAAATTCGTTCGTGTACAGGCATGCAAATCGATTCGGCGGAGAAGGATAAGGATGAGAAGGAGCAGTAGGAGAGAAGGGGGGAGGAGGTGGACAGGGAGGAGGAAGAGGACAAAGAAGAGGTGGAGGAGGATGAGGAGGAGAGGGAGGAGGAGGAGGAGTATGAGAGGAGGAGGGAGAAGGCAGACAGCGAGGAGGAGGTGAAAGGGGGGTCAGGGAGGAGGGCGGTGGCTGGGAGAAGGAAAGGGCCAAGGA